ACTCTAGAGGAAAATTTCCAATGTTCTTGAATGGCCATCCCAATCCCCAGACCTGAATATCATTGAACATCTGTGGGATGATCTGAAGCAGGCTGTCCATGCTCGGTGACCATCAAACTTCACTAAACTGGAATCGTTTTACAAAGAAGAATGGTCAAAAATCCCTTTATCTAGGATCCAGGAACTCATTAAAAGCTACAGGAAGCGACTAGAGGCTGTAGTTTTTGCAAAAACAGGTTCTACTAAATATTAACTTTTCTTTTTTGCTGAAGTGCCCATATTTTTACTCTTGTCAAATTATTGTTTAATACATGCTTTACATTTTCTGTTATTTCAATTAAACCTGAATTCAATACTGAAATATTACTGTGTCCATCAGTTATTAGATATATCAAACTGAAATAGCTGTTGCAAACACCCAACTTATAGAAAAAAATATTTAAGATTAATAGGGGTGCCCAAACTTTTTCATATGACAGTATATATATATATATATATATATATATATATATATATATATATATATATATATATATATATATATATATATATATATATATATATATATATATATATATATATATATATATATATATATATATATATATAGGAAAGCTGAATAGAATGGTATAGATTAAAGCAATGGCTTAAAAACAGATTTATGTTTGCGGTTGTAACATGACAAAATATGAAATGGCTCCAGGGGTGTGAATACTTCTGTAGCTGTGTATATGTGTATAACGACAAGAGTTTCTTTTATTTATTTGTTTATTGACATAATATTTAACATAATATTTCAAAAATGCCGAAAAGCGAAGGTTGTAAATGTCGACGCTTCAGCTTTAAGAGGCTGCTTAGTCTGGAGGCTGTGGCAGGCAATTGTGACTAGGGAGAATGCTTTATTGCTATCTATAATAGAAATGTGACTAGTCAGCCTGCCTACTTTATGTTAAAACGGCGCCCCATTTCTTTTTTGAACGTTAGTCAAAATATGTTTTTAAGTATCTAAAACTAAATTTTAGAATGACGCTATTAAAATTGAGATATCTGAAATTCTAATTTAACTATTCATAAAATAAGTAGTTGATATCTGTAATTATATTTGTACAACCATAAATATATTTTAGATGTAAAGAATTGTATTTCTAGATATCTGTAATGTTATATTCATTTTTGATATCCGAAATAGTAATTTTGACTAGCAGTAAGTCTATTATGGAGATCTAATTAGAATTCATCCTAGTCACAATTCATTTTAGATACGAAGAATGTTATTTTAGATATCTGGAAGTAAAAGCCCAATACACATAAATGGGAAACATGACGTCTTTTGAACTATTAAATGTAAAGTAATGTTTTTTGTTTTTTTTTGATAGGAGGAATGTTTATATATCTGACATGTTTATTTTGACTAGGAAGAAATGCATTTGAGACATCCGGAATATATATTCAGTCAGCTAATAAATGTCAAAATGGCCTGCCATAGTACAAACCGCTCCTCTGAGCAGGTCACATGATCCTTCCGGGCTCCCTTCGTTCTGGTTCTCCGGACTGACAGCTGAATACCGAGGTAAAATAGACCGTTTTCATTCTTAATAATGCATGTATGGATAATAACAACACCTATTTTCCATTTACTGTTATTAATTGGAATTATTGGTCCGATCCAAAAATTCCCACTCCTTTAAATATTTAATTTGAATGAAGCAGCATGCTGTTGAATGATGGGATTTTCTTGATGAGTCTAAAGTCTGATTTAGGAGTGTTTGCTTTGCAGAGCTGCAACTTATTCCCACTGTGGCTGTTTTGTCCACCAGCACGATGAAGCTGATCATACTGAATGACTACGACCAGGCAAGCGAGTGGGCTGCCAAGTACATAAGAAACAAGATACTGAACTTCCAACCTGGACCCAATAAGTTCTTCACATTAGGACTCCCCACAGGTAGGAGGAAGGAAGCAGTCTTTGTTTTCCTTATTAAAGTCCAAATATTGAAGTTTTATATTGGTCAGAGTGATGTTGCCTCAGAGTCATTTAAAACGTTTTTGGTACATTTGCATCAAAATGCAATGATGGATAAAAAAATAATAATAAAAAAAATATTTTCCATTGCACAAAAAGTATAGAGATACAACTATGCACATTATTTGTTTAGTCAACAGACCTGGAAATTTGTTAAAAAACAAACAAACATAAAAATGTGTATTGATGTAAACTCCGTATGTAATGGAAGGGCCGTTTTATTGAAAACGGATGTTATTAAACTTGTTAGGGCAACTTGAGATAATAAAAATCAATTAAATTCAAAACTCTTGAGTCTTTCCACTATTTTTTTTACATTACAACCACAAACTCCACGTGTTTGTTGGGCTTTATGTAGTATTTCAACACAAAAAGCACATATTTGAAAAAGGGAAAGGTAATATTATTAATAGTTAAAACAACCCCCTTAGTATGATGCTGCCACCACCATGCTTTGGACATGGGAATGCAGTGTTTAGGGCATAAAAAAGCTTTCTGCCAACGTGGTGTTTTGCATCTAGTTGATCACAGATGATAAACATCAACTCCTCTTGACTTTTCTGCTGTTTTTTTTTTTTTTTTTTGTCATGAGGCTGTTTATTAATGCTTATCTAGAAAATCTATGTCCCTCTGTGTTTTATACTGAGGTTAACTCCAGCTGGGCTGGAGGATTTCTTTTACTAATTAGATGGGCTCTAATGATGGTAGTTTGCTCTGGAATTTATTTAGGGTTATTGGAGTAAAGTGGGCCTAATGTAAAAGCCCACCAGTCTTTTCTGAGTTTTATTTATAAGGAAAAATGCAATCCTAAAACTGTATGTGTTTATCCCCTATCTTCAAGAGTCTTATCCTTATCTTATTTTACTCTTATCCTTATTTTATTTTTATGTCTTATTTTACACTTTTTATATGGGAAGGGTGTAATTATACTGTATGGGTTGTAATTTTACCTATTTTATTCTGTCTTATACTTTATTTTATTTTGCTCTATATTACTTACAATCTAATTTTTCTGTCTTCTGTAAATCCTTGCTCAGCAAGAAAATAATTTCTTGCAAAGGAATAATAAAGTATTTCTGATTCTGATTCAAAATTAAAGCACTATTTTGTGATAAAGAAATTGAAATTTGTGGTTGTGACATAATGTTGGAAAGGAAAGAGCTTTAAATTATTATAGAAAATCCAAAGCTGTTTATAAAGCAGACAGAAAAGGATGAAAAGCTAATGAACTAATGTCACTACGGCAAAAACAGCTTGATGAAGCCGATTGCAATGTTTAAGGGACTCAGTTTTTTAATATATCACATTGCAGCATAGACTGAAAAGTATCCAGACCTTTAAAAACATTAAGAATGCATCTTTCTACTTTTTTAATTTGGTAGTTTGATAAATTCTTTCCACTCCTCAGGCAGCACTCCTTTAGGATGTTACAAGAAGCTGATTGAATACCACAAAAATGGCGAAATCTCCTTTGAGTTTGTGAAAACCTTCAACATGGACGAATATGTCGGTAGGTGATAGTTATCTCAGCTTTAGGGAATGCTTTGGGTGCAGTTTTCTCTTCATGAACTTGTGTTTTAGGACTTCCTAGAGATCACCCTGAGAGCTATCACTCCTTCATGTGGAACAACTTCTTCAAGCACATCGATATAAGAGCAGAGAACACCCACATTCTAGATGGAAATGCTGCCAACCTTGAAGCAGAGTGCAACTCCTTTGAGGAAAAGATAAAACAGGCTGGAGGGATTGAGCTTTTTGTGGGAGGTCAGGAAAGAACCGCATTGATAGTAAAATACTCTCATCCCTTGTTTAATAGTGTAAGAAAGATCAAAATTAAACAAAGCTTCATGTATTGCAGGGATTGGACCTGATGGCCACATCGCTTTCAATGAGCCGGGTTCCAGCCTGGTTTCCAGAACCAGAGTGAAAACACTAGCGAAGGACACAATCATGGCTAACGCTAGATTCTTTGACGGAGATCTCTCAAAAGTGCCCACCATGGCGCTGACGGTGGGAGTTGGCACCGTCATGGATGCAAAAGAGGTTAGGAGCCCCTGTTTGAAGAACCTCTCAGTGGTTCTGTCAATGATCGGTGATTAAATCCTGTGATTCCAAACAATGCATTGATTTCTAATCTCTAAGGTCATGATTCTTATCACCGGAGCACACAAGGCGTTTGCTTTGTACAAAGCAATAGAGGAAGGCGTCAATCACATGTGGACGGTGTCTGCCTTCCAGCAGCACCCGCAGACTGTTTTTGTATGTGACGAAGATGCCACCCTGGAGCTGCGGGTCAAGACTGTGAAGTACTTCCAAGGTACGACTAAACCATATTGTACTTAGCCTGTCATGCATGAACTCTAGATTAGGGCCAATTACGGCTTTTGGTAGAACAGAAAACAGATTCTTTGAAATGTTTTTTTCAAAATCTGCTTAATTTTATTTGTTTTTGCAGGGATGATGCATGTGCACAACAGACTGGTGGAAGCACCTACATCACAACCGAAGAAGAACTGAAGAGACCTCTTATTAATAAGAAATGAGCCAAATATATGAAAATACACTCCAATCATTCCTCATCCTCTATCTCCATCTAGAGATAGTTGTGAACATTTACACTATTTCTATTGGTGCAGTGTAGGCTGTCAGGTTTTTATATTCGTCCATGCAGCCTCAAACTTTTTCTTTTTAATAATAGGCTTGATTTACATATGTCTTGTGGCTTGGTTTTCCATCTGCATATCACATGACGATATGGCTTGTGTTGCATTTCAGTGCTCCTCGGATATATCTGGTTCGGAGGAAAGAAAACTGTTAAATACATTCAAAACACAAACTCTTTGATGACTTACAGTTTTAAAGATCTCGTCCTTTACTATTTTGTGTACATAATTTTAAGCTTTTTTAGCCAAATGTTCAGAATCGTATCATAACGACGATCTTGGAGCTAACATTTCCGACAACCCTTGAACGCAACGTCAGAACCAGTTTCTCGCTCTGAGAAGGAAGAGAGGAGATGGCCGACTAGGAGGAGGAAATCTCACAATTCTGCTTTATCGTCGGCAAGAGTCATTTTATTCTGGGTTTTTATCACAGCCTTACATCAGAGGGGGAGGTTTAAATCGTTTAGTTCATCTTTCACGATGGCGGAACAAAACAGTAACGTCAGATACCAGGAGGTAGGTAACAGGTTGCTGGCTTTGCTAAAGCGATGCTAACAGTTAGCTGTCAGAGAGCCAAACAAGAGGCTCAAGCGAACGAGCGTTTGTTTACGGGCGGAGGCCCAATGTGACGCTACATAGTCTGTCAGTATTGTAAGACAACTACACCAGTTCAGACTGGATTATGTAACTATAACTGGACAATTGAGCTAGCTAGCTTGTTTTAAGCTTGCACAAATTACTACTCTAACGTCTGATTTCCTGAACGTTAATGTAGTTCTGAGTGCAACGTTAACTTCAGGGGAACCTCATAATATGGATAAGAAAACTTAGCTAATCTAATCGGATGATATTTATATGAGAAATTGAATACTTTTAGATCTAAAAGACAAGTCAATGTGGACTGTATGTATAAAAACGGAAAATAAATAACTTCTTCTAGCTTAATATTCTCTGTAGGTAGTTTTATATTAGGCCGATCTGAGTTATATTCGATCTAATCAGCTTTTAAGCTCTCATGTCTTCATTTAGAGCACTTGATCTATTATGCAGAATATAAATTTAGTGCTATCGTGACATTTTAACCGACAGATCCACTCTATTAATGTTTATTTTAGCATGTATTTGCTACCTTTATCTTTTAGTTAGATTAATGCATGTTGCATTTCAACACTAGAACTAAAGCAGCAGCTATTTTATCAATCAAATAAATTAGCAACAATTATTTCCCTGCATAGTGGATAAATCGGTTGATTTTATGATTGCAAACTCTGCTTGACAGATTATTTTTTTTCTGAATTTGAACCATTTGAGGTTAAAGCTATGATAGCTTGGAAATCTTGACAGATGTTGACAAAAAAAAAAAAAAAAAAAATATATATATATATATATAATTTTTTTATATATAAATTTTTTTTTACCTATTTGGTTGTTCTTTTATCCTTATTTTAGTCAATATACTAAAGTTACCGATTAGCAAATGATCATCTCAGCAAAAAGTTAAACTGGTTAATTGTTTCAGACCTGACTAGATAAATGTCTCTGGTAAAATGAGTATTAAAAGGTTCATGAGTTAATTATCTGTTTACCATATTGTTCCTGTAGATGCTTTGATATATTGGTTCAGTAAAAAAAAAAAAAAAAAAAAGAACAGAATCCAGGGAAATAAACCCAACAAACTGCTTTAGCATGTGTGTATAAGATCTGATCATCTTTACTATTTCTTGTTGTCACGACTTAAAAAAAACAAGACACACAACCAAGGTTTCTTGACTTTTCAGTTGATGCCCTGCATGTTGCAGTTTAACCATACATCCTGTTAGCAAAACAACAAAGGCTTATTATAACTTCTTTTTCAGTGATCACAATTTATGCCTTAAAACATCATGATTTAAAATCTTTTGGTGGTATATAAATTCCTAGACAGTAGTTTTCAATATTTTGTTTTTGTTTCCTACTGTCACAAGTAATTTTTGGTTTGAAATGTTCCTCAAAATAAAAGAACCAGGAAGTGACATTGACTCATAACAAGACAATTTTCTTCTGTGGCTTAAAGTGAAGGATTATCTTTAGATGACTGTGATCAATATGACTGAATGAGAGGGAAAAAATGCTTTTTACACTAAATATGATCACATTAGAAAGGAATAGCATGGTGGCATTTCTTTTCTCAGATTCTACAAAGAAAAAAAAATCCATTAGCATTATGGCTTGTTCTTTTAAGACTAAACTATTTATTCTTTTGAATCAACAGCTGGTGAATGAGGAGGATCCGGCCCAGCCTTCCCAGGAGACCCCTGTGCCGGATGCACCACCACCCTACAGCAGCGTTGCTGCAGCTAATGCAGGTCAGAAAAGCCTTGATGTTGCCCTCTCAAACTCTCAGTCAACACCCTTTTTATTGTCTCAATCCTGTTGATGCCACTGTGTGATAACTCATCACATCAAACAAAAAAAAAAACTGTCTCTCCAAGCGAATAATGTCTATAATTTTTGCAAAGTGCTTAAAGCTCAACCATGACTCAAAACTCTAAATTAAGCTACAAACTATTCTAATCTCGATTCTATAAATTTGTTAAAAAAACAATAATTATGTGAATGTTTCAAATAAAGAGGGAATATTTATTAGTTTAATGTAAATGTAGAAACAGGAGCATAGATGTAAGGCAGACTTAGAAATGTGAATGTAGTTTAGCATCTTCTTGACCCTAGATAATATATTTCAAAAGAAGAGGTAATTGCAGCCGACCTGGTTTCGCGTTTCTAATCTCGCATCTTAAGAGGGTAAAGGTCAACCAGTGTGTTTCATAAGTGGGTGCAGCCCAGGGTTCTTCCTGGATGAGTTCAACGATCTGAACTGGTGCAGTTAGTGTTTGAGCGGCACAAAGGAAGACGACTCCTGGATGAGAGCCAGGCAACCCAGATGAAAGTCTGAGGCTTTTATACGGGGAGAGCATATGAGCGTTAATGGAGGCGTCGGCTGCTAATGCTGCTCTTCCGGTGGTAAATCATTCCACCCAGGTCAGGGTTTTGAACAGTCAGCTGCTGCTTTCGTTTGTAGAGCGAAGTGAAAGCAGATTTGTGCGTGTGTCAGCAGCTAGTCCTTGAAAATCGCTGGTTTATCAGTAATTCTTCCTCTTCGGATGGGGATTCTATTTTATACAATATTTTCTTTGCCCTTCATCTACCGTCCAAACTATAAGTATAGAACAAAACAGCAGAATGCTGTTTTCACGTTAGCTTTACCATGACCTTAGTTCTAATTAAATAAACCTCTTATATTGTGAATGATGTCCCAAAACAAGATAATTTTTTTAGGTTGCCTGTAATTTAGAAAAAAAATCTACAGACAGAATGGGCTCTGACTTCTAATCTAAAAACAATAAACACACCACGTTATAAAAAATAGAAATTTAGCCAGAAAAATCTTTTCTCCCTGGCAAGATGTTACTGCTGCCGTAGCCATGGATTAATGATCCCCCAGCCAAGAATGGGAGTAAGCTAACAGAACCCCGGAGGAGGTTCCAAAAAGCTAACAGCGCAGACAGCAGCCCCTCTATGCTCCCAAAGGTTGTTCCTCTTTCCTTCCTTTTCCCACAGGTTTCTGTCAGATCAGGGTCAGTTTATGGTTCCAGTAGATAATTCCTGCCAACAGCTGAGCTGGATCTTTTATACCTCTGCTGCTTTTGCAGTTCCTTTTTTCTTTCTTTCTTATAAATATATATTGTTTTCGGTGGTTGTAGGCCAATCCATGCACATTTTTGCACATTTCTTTGAAGCCATCCTGCTAAATGTCAGACTTTTGTTAATCTTGTTATCTTTACAAATAATTACTGTAAAGTCTTCAAAGAAGTTGAGAATATATTTGTTGCTGCTGATCTATTAATTATGGATGGAGATCAGTAATGAATGTAAATCTTTATTACATTTATTTAATGTGATCAAGTTGTTGTTTCTTATTTATCTCTTTATTTGGACTATTATATGACATGGAGCCCATATTAGCAGGGACAGGTATCAGATTTCACACCAGTGCCTTTTTTTCTTCTTCATCACATGTACTCTGCTTTTCCCCTTCTTCCTTTAGCTGCTTTATGTGGCAGCATAACTGCGCCATCTACTGGTGGAACAGAAGTATTAAAGCTATTATAGCTCCTCTGCACATGTTTCTTCTTTACAATGTATTTAGTTTTATTTGCCTTATGACATAAAATGTGTAACAATAAAAACATTAATATGGCTATGGTGACTTAATTTGTCTTTTTAAAGATGTTTTATTTATGTGTGAGTACAGTTGTACATCTGATGCATTGGCAGAAGATTCAGAAAGCAAGAATACATTTTAACTTTCTTTTTTTTTTCTTTCTTTCTTCATAGCGTTCTTCGAATACAAGGAAGATGGAGGAAGATTCCCCAACCCGCCGTCGTACAACGTTGCCACGACTTTACCTTCCTATGATGAGGCTGAGAGAAGCAAAGCCGAGGCGGCCGTCCCCCTGGTCACCGGCAGAGTCTCCGTATGTCTCCTTTTCTCTATTGAATCTCAGAGGAAAGCAGACGTAAGCAAAGAATGATAGGAATGGATGTCCTTCTGTTGTTGCAGGAAGACGATTTTGTGGCCAGAGATGACTTTGAGGACGCCGACCAGCTGCGGATAGGAAACGATGGGATCTTTATGCTCACTTTCTTCAGTAAGCTTAGAGTTTTCTTTTGGCAAACCGATGTAGACTGGGGAGGTACTGTTCTGTTTAATAAAGCGGGATTCATTAGATTGTGTGTGTGAGCAGATTTTTTCTCCTTCACATCCTTGATTTTAAAGATTGTTTTCTCACCAGTGGCATTCCTCTTCAACTGGATCGGTTTCTTTTTGTCGTTCTGTTTGACCACGTCGGCGGCCGGGCGTTACGGAGCCATCTCTGGCTTCGGCCTGTCTCTCATCAAATGGGTCCTTATCGTCAGGGTAAGACAGCTGTCTTTATGATCGGCCATTTTAATACATTTTAGTTTAGCTAGCAGCTCCTTAACCCAGCTAACTTCCTGTTTCTGCAGTTTTCCACCTATTTCCCGGGATATTTTGATGGACAGTACTGGTTGTGGTGGGTGTTCCTGGCTCTGGGTGAGTGAGATGGATCATTTATTTATTTTTTTGGTTGTTGTAGTAGAAATGAATTTAATTTGAATAAAAGTTCAGACTCATTGGTGATAATGGTTCATTTGTGGATTTCAGGTTTCCTGCTGTTTATCAGAGGCTTTGTTAACTACTCCAGAGTGCGCAAACTGGTTGATCCCACCTACGCCAACCTTCCCAGAACAAGGGTGCTTTTCATCTATTAGAGGTGTGTTGATTTACTGCAAATTTGCTGCCGTTACCTTCCTGGTTTGAATGGCAACTTTTTTTTTATCACAGCAACTTAAGCCCCATTTACACTACCCTTTTGAAGCCGTGCAGAGATCAGTCCAAGCACGGTAACTGAGATATCTGAGTGTTTAAATGCACGGACAACTGAACCAGACAAGCCAGACACAATCAAACTGCGCTAAACTGATACTAGTTCAACATTAGGGCTCGGTACGGTTACGTTCTGGCACGGCTCTCAGATAACAGAGAGCACATGAGCAGATCGTGTCATCTCCTTACCGTCAGCCTCTTTAATCATGAAATTTCAGACATTCATAGAAATACTAGCTTCCCTATCTTGCCACATGTTTTCTAGCGATGATTCTGCTTAGCAGTGTGATGAACCTCAACGTCTGTTGTTTCCTGCATCTGTAAGCCCTGATTAGACTACTGTTTGACCAATCCACTTCCCAAAAGCTGACTCTGTCAAGTAAATTCACCAAAGACTGCCTCCTTCACCTGACTCTCCTCAAACAACAAAATATCAAAGTTATACCCAAACTTTCTAAACGTTAGGGACGCTGCCATGTTGATTTGCTTGTTTACCTCTAGAGAGCAGTAGTACCGTAGATTGTCACTAGGAGGCGAGTAACCCTGCTAGCATGGCGTGTAAAGGTTGTGCTCGGCACAGTTAACTGATCCAAGCTCGGTCCAAACTCGGCACAGATCGGTTTTCAGAGGGTAGTGGAAATTGGGATTTAATTTCAGAAGCAATAAAATCTGCTGATGTTTATACTCAATGAAATAGGTTCCACTGTTACCTGCAGTCCTGCTGTTCAAACATTTCTCTGTTTTACCAGGTGATCTGATCTTTGTTATTTTATAAGGTGACAAAGAAAGGAGGATTTTTAATCAGGGTAGCCATCAATGCAGCTGGAACTGTTAGCCATTTGCTGTTAGCCACCAATAAAACTTAGCACACAAACAGTTGTTTTATCCATGTGTTTAGTAGCCATTGCCATTTCCTTTCTCTTCTAATGGCAGGAGGAAAAAAGGTGGTGAAAGGAGTGAAAAGGTGTTTCAGAGTCACACGGAGAGACTTTAATCAGAAATTGGCCAGACGACCCCACCCTAAAGAGGACAACCTCAAGATGGTAACATATTCAGGAAATATATCTATCGTGTTTTTCTTTTGTTAAGCATTTTAATAATGGACATGGTAAGCAGTAATAGTCCCTTTTAGGTATTCGTTAGTGGCTAATGTTAAGTGCTATTTACATCCGTCTGTAATGTAAGAGTATTGCCTTATATGATATCATTTGATGGAAGCATAAAAGCATGCATCTACTGCCAGCCCAATCTTGTATCATCCATGGACTGAACATAGCATGGCACAGCACCATTTATCAATCGCTGATATCAAAGGATCGGGTGAATGTTTGAGTTTTACTCAGTAGGCTTTAAATGTGCCGATCCTCATTCAGCCACAAAGGGGCGGTGTTGTCCTCATATTTCCAGACATCTTCATGAGACGAAACCCAGAACCTGCTTGTAATTTGCAATCCAAACATACCAGAATGACCTCTGCTTGTCAGATATTTCCTAACGATTACTGTGGGGTAAATTATGTAAAATGATCCGAACCTGGAAGCAGAATTTAGCTTATCTAGACGCTGGGGGGAAAAAAACGCAGCCACTATTTTCACTTCAACCAAACAAAAGTGAATCTTTGAGCTGTTCCATTGACAAGGCTGGATTTTTAAATGAGTCGGCTGATGAAAAAGCTCTGAGACGAATAAAAAGTTTGGATTTCAGCTTTCAATGATTCAGTTCTCACAGCTGTATCTCATTAATAAGCATAAAAATAGCTCAAATTCCTCCTCCAGGTGGGATCTAACCTTTAGATTTAAATGACAACTGTTTTCTTCCCCAGCTTTAATTACTTGTTAGAAGTTGGTATTAATTATGTCAATGGGTTTATTCTATTTTCTGTAAATGTTGACAGAAGAACCCGGAGCATTCTTCCGTCTTTACACCCAGCCCACAGCGAACAGTTTGAATCATTAACTTCAGATTCTGCCATGGCTTTGATTACAAACCAGTTATGCTTGTTTCTATGTGATGTAGAACTGAAACCTTGGGGTCATGTTATGTAACTGTACAGAGATCATATAATGTTAAATAAATGTCAATTTCAACGTGTCTTCTGAGTCATTTTCTGTAAGATTCTGAACACTTGAGGCTTTTTTTTTTAAAGGATTTTAATCTGCAGCTTTGTTATATCGTATGAAGCAGCTGAAACAGATATGCTCCCAGTGTGATTCATGTTTCATTTACAGGAATCCTTTTGTAATTTTTCCCAGTCCTACAGAGCCCTGTTTCTCCTGCAGTTCGACATGAGCAGCTCAGGGAAGCTCAGCCTAAATGAAACGTGCATGTTAGATTTGTTAATAGCTCAAGTATTTAATGTTCTGTCAAGTTAGATTCTGAATATTAAAAAGAGCATTTTAAAAGGATTGTAATACAGGAAGTACATGCATTAAATACTTGGCTGTGGCTCCTTCGGTATGAATCACAGCATTGATTTCCTTGTTTCTTTTCATCATTCTCTTAATAATCCTCCATAGACCTCTAAAGTTTAAAGGAGAAGGAAGCAGTAATTTCTTTGCTGCTGGTCTGATGTTGGAAGCTTGATAAAACATGCTAAGACAACATGGGCGTGCAGGCGGCGCAGTGGTTAGCACGGCCGACGCGGGTTCGAATCTGACCTGTGGTCCTTTGCCGTATGTTTCTCCCCCTCTCTCGTGCCCACTTTCCTGTCAGCCTACTGTCGAAAAAATGAGCTACTAGTGCCGTAAAAAAGCAACAAAAAAACATGCTAGACAACAACCAGCGGATGACCTTAAACAGCACATCTGTGCTGACCGGGAAGACTTGACACTGATACTAGCAGTTCACTGTAGTGCTGTGATAGTTTTTTCCAGATTAAACAAAAGCAGCAATATAGCCCTTTCCTTTTTTCACAGCCCTGAAATGACCTCCAGGTTGTGGGTTCTGGTCAAAGCGCAGCGGAAAAGAGAATAGTCTTTGGTCATGTCTTGATCTGTAACCCCCTCCTACTAAAGACTTGAAAAATTTTTTTCCCCCTCCCTGTCACTACCTAATCCGTCCTGGGAGCACGATCTGAACTATCAGCTCATTTGTGCATGCACAGTCAGATATACACGCGGGTTTCCATAAATAATGTAATTATGGTACTACAATTACATATTTCGATCCTTACCTCTCTAAAGAATAGTAATACATCTTTAAAAATGTTTTATGACTTTTTCTGGGAGTGCATATTACAAACAGCCTCATCTGGACTAAACACCACCTTAGTGGTTAAAAGGGCACAGAAGCGCATGTACTTCCTGTTCATATACTTCAGTTTAAATAGTGCCAATTCACAACACCTCTCAAGGCACTTTACAGCCCTCCAGATCATACAGTCGAATTAATTCAAAGTTTTCTATCTAAGGAAAACCAGTTGATTGCATCGACTCATTGACCCTCACACTAAGCATGCTTGTAGCGACAGTGGAGAGGAAAAACTCCCTTTTAACAGGAAGAAACCTCCAGCAGAACCAGGCTCAGTGTGAGTCTCTAAAACTGGAAGTTGGTTTCATAGGAGAGGAGCCTGATGATGAAAAGACCTGCCTCCCATTCTACTTTTAGAAATTCTAGGAACCACTAGTAGTAAGAAAGGGGATGAGGAGAGCCTACCTGCCCCCTCCTATCCTCACGACCTTCTACACAAGCACCATGGAGAGCGTTCTGACCAGCTGTCTCACTGTGTGGCATGTGAGCTAGAGCACCGCAGACTGGAAGACGGTAAGAAGAGTAAAGAGAACAGCAGACGGGATCATCAGGGATCCTCTTCCCTCCATTAAAGACATTTCACTCCAGCACTGTGTGTCCTGAGCCCGTAACATCAATGATCCATCACACCCACACCATGGACTGTTCTCCCTGCTGCCCTCTGGGAAGAGGCTTCCCAGCATTCAATGCAGGACCAGCAGGTTCCAAAACGGCTTCTTCCCCACTGCCATCAGACTGCTCAATGTAACAGGATTTTAAGGCATTTTTGTTCTCGGTTTAAAAAAAAACATGAAACCTTTAACACAATTTCGTACACTTACTAATTTTGGGGAGGGAAAGAATATTATTTAGGTCGTTTTTAACAAACTCAAATCAAAGAAGACCTCGATTTATATATTGCTTCGCATGCGCAAATGAGCTAGTGGTATGGATCGTGCTTCCGGGACGGATCGGGCACTTTTTTTCCTTCCACTCAACTTTCAAATAACCAGCTTCTTTTGGATTTCAAAGACTTTGAGTCTTCCTTCTTTGTGTGACGCAGAAATAAAATCCTTTTTATTAATTGGTTTTCTCTGGTATTTAAAGTTTTGAGGGGAAACAGGTTTGGTTTTAAATGAACTATATGTTAGCTACTAACTAAAGCTAGCTCGGACGTGTTACTTGACACTAAAGAAGGTGAAAGATGCAGCACTTTTGCACTGATGCAGCTTCATGCCTATGAGCAAAACATCCTGCAGCCCCCTCCCCTTCATCCAATCTCATCAGACAGGTTAATGGCTTAGATGCCTCGGCCTCTTTAATCCTGGGAAATTTCCAGCTGTCTGGGAATGAAGAAGATGGCCTTCTGTCCGATGTGGGTCCTCGGACCCAGTTTGGTTCTGCCGTTTTTCTTCAAGCCGACGTACCAGCTGCTGTGCTGGTATCTCTGAGACTGATATGTGTTGTAGTGATTCTCCTCCAGCTTCTCCAGGAAGAAGCACTCATCGGTTACTGTGGGCTAAAAGAAGATAAAACGTTTAAAGAAGGATCTCTGCTGAATAATTTGACAACCAACTGATGTAAAACAGGATCTGGTGGAGATACTCACTGAGGCATACAGACGTCCTTCAGCACTCATAGCCAGGTATCGCTCTGCTGCTGTTCCCTGGATAAAGACCACGCCTCTGTCCACAGCTTGGAGCTTCACCACAGCTGAAAGGGGAAGAAGCTCAATAGTCAGACCTATAGGAGCTGGTTTCTATGGTGAAGGCTACCGTCATCACTGAATTTACAAAACTAATTAATTAACTTTTAACCTTTCATCACTTTAGAGCATCAGTTACTGATTTAAGCAGTCATATTTATGGTATTTAAACGCAACATTTTCATTGATCGAAGAATAAAAGGGCATGGAGCGAGATATTTTATGTTGGAATCCTCACCACTATTAAATCACCAGAGACCGATACAGGTGTTTTTTTTAAGCCAATACCGACACCAATTATTAGTCTAACTGATCCCTGATCCATGCTGCTGCCGTTTGGGGCCAATTCTTACAGCCAATAATGCTTTTTCTTTCTCTATTAAATGATAAAAACAGGGTTTTCAAAGATATTGGTACTCTAAAGGCCAGAATACGACCGAATATGATTTTGCGTCCGATCCAGAAGAATGGGTCTGACTGGAAAGGAGATGCGGTTACAAAGTAAAACACACCCGCTTTGGGGGAAAATACAAAATAAAATCTGTTAATTGCACGGGGAAAGAGTCAGTTCAGGAGTCACAAAAACAATAAATGAAACAATAAAAAATTATAATTTACCCATGATGGGAGTTCAAAAGGACAAAAAGGGATAAAGTAGTGATACTCTTAGAGCTTCACAGAAAACAAAATCACAAGGGGCAAACAAAGCAAGTAAGTGCAGCGTATCTCACCTCTTTATGAAGAAAAAAGACAAACTTGGATAAACTTCTTAGATCTCTCTCTGAGAATCATCTCTCTGCCTCAGTCAGAATATAAACCGTCTCATGGTGTTTTTTGCTGTGTTTTTCTTTTCTTTAGATGTAGATCTCATGTTTTTAATATTAGCTTATGAACATTCTCTGTCTGATCTGGATTGAGATGCTGCATTTTCTTGTGGGGAAATTGGTGTAAAGCACAGAGACAGGATTGAGAAAAATCTACGCAGATCTGCTCACCCCAGTCGGAGCTTCTCTATATGCAGTCAGTGCGACATGGAAAAAAATCGGATCAGAGATTAAAAAGTCGTAAGCAGCCAGTGTGTTAAGGCCTTATTGCTTTTTCTGGATGCAATACAAGTTTTGCGTGGTATGCAAGGGCGTAGGTTTGATTTCCACTTTGGTAGGGACACTATTTGTCTGATGCCATTGGTTCTATGCAAAAATATGCGTGCTCATTTTTTTTTTTTTATGCTTGACGAGAAAATCAGGGTCTATTTTGTTTAAAGAGAAAAGCAGCATTTCTTGCTACATTTATACAAATTTTATAAGTGCTACACACACTAGATGCTGTTTATCAATGTTTGAAGCATCACCGGCTCTGATGAATGAGGAATTATGACTTTTTTCCACTTTGAAAAAGGTTTGCATTTGAAATTACCAGCGACTAAGACAGAAAGTAAATCTGTGCCTATTTAACAAAATATGGTCTAAATCTGTCTGTTATATGTGGATTTATCCTGTTTTTTCTTTGGAAGATATACAATTGTGCTGAGGTAAACAGAGGTAAAACCTACTCTTATCTTTTAAATATTCTCTCTGTATCATAAAACGAAGCAAAATAATAGATTCAAGGGGCACCAAATAAATGTATTTACATGAGCACTGGAACTAACACTGTGCATTAAGAATATTAATTTCACTCTAGAAGTCATCTAGGCTGTAGTTATTCTGTTTAACCCATATTATGTATTTTATCTTGCTCTGAAACAATTCATCGGAATAATTGATTATTGAAATGTAAACAAATTTAGTAATCGATTAATTGTTAATTGGAGTATAGAGGCTCTAAAACATGTCTTTAGCTCACAGAGCGACCCACTTACAGCAGGAATTATAACAAAATTGTAAAATAAATATATAAACATTTTACATTTTAGATAAAAACTGTTTTCGTTTGTCAATATTCTCCATCCAGAACTCCTCTACTGCTGCAACAAAGCTGTAATGTAAATTATAAACATGTTATTCACATCTAATTGTTGGTAGGGACAAGTAGGTCGGTCCAAACCTACGCCCATGGTGGTATGGACACTACAGTGTTGATTGCATATTTCTTCTGTCACTAATTTTAGACTTTTAGATTATTTGCACATTAAAGGAATAAGAGCCTTAAAATATTGTTTTTCCATTTTGAGATTGAAAAATGTGAGTTTTTCATGTTAATGAGTTTCTTGTATCTTAAATTATTTGGCAGGTTTTATTTTAATATTGCCAAAAATGGTATCAAGTATTTTCCTGGGGGATTGATACAGAGTTTGAAGTTTTAGTATTGTGACAACCTTAGAAATGAAGCAATGATAACAAGTATTACACAAGTCTCAATTTAAACAACTTTAACAATGGATAGCAAATGGAAGGAGGGAAAACGCACGCTCCTCATATTATGTTAATTAATAAATTGACAAATGCTAAAACTGTTCCTGTTTGGCTGTGACGTCATCCTGGAAAGAAACATCAGCTGTGCTGCTTCCATCAACACCCTTGTTTATAGATGTTGGAGATCGGCCTGTTTTCCAGTGTGGTCCTGTTTCTCTGACCGTGACTGGCTGGATGTGCTCTCTTCGTCCTCTGGCATGGGAGCTGCCTTGGAGCTTGTCTGCCTGGCTGTGTGTTTCCTGGACGGGGCCGCCTTTTACAGCTACTTTCTGTATCTCTGCTTCTGTCTCCTTGAACCCCAGTCGGCCTCGGCAGATGGCCGCTCACACTGAGCCTGGTTCTGCTGGAGGTTTCTTCCTGTTAAAAGGGAGTTTTTCCTCTCCACTGTCGCTACAAGCATGCTTAGTGTGAGGGATTGTATTTGAGTCGATGCAATCAACTGGTTTTCCTTAGATAGAAAACTTTGTATCAATTTGACTGTATGATCTGGTTGAACTGTAAAGTGCCTTGAGATGACATGTGTTGTGAATTTGGCGCTATATAAATAAACTGAATTGAATTGAATTAAAATCAGTCAAAAATATCAGCCGGCTGATGCATTGATTCAAAAGCACCTTAACGTTTTCTTGTGTCTTCCCAGTGAAGCACTACTAGAGCCGATATATTCATCAAAATAAAACACAATTGATGGTGGTATTTTAATAAAATGTATACATATTTAAGGGATACAAGTACTTTACATCGTATTACACAACAATCCTTCTTCAATTGGATTTTTTTCTTACAGCTGCCCTTCAGCTGTATGAGTCGTGGAAACTGTAACTTAAATAGCAGAATAATAAGTTTCTAAAGTTATCCAGTCTTTTTGAATTAGGAAAGGTCACGGTTGAGCAACCTGGAGTTTGGAAGCTGCTGTTTAACTCCATGGAGAACCGTTCATGGCTCCCTTCCCCTCTGGGTCCCCAGAATCTGTTCTTCTGTTGTTTACTTGTGCACCTGCATCTGGATGAGGTCGCTTGTGTGATTTCTTTGGAATGACCTTCAATTCTGGGTTATAGATGCTGGAAAGCTGAAACTGCAACTCTGCCCCTCGGTTCAGTGTCAGTGTCTGGTTTCCTTTTTAACTCTGTATTGGTGAAGAGAGAGCTGAGCTGACAGGCGAGGCTCTGGATTTACCGGTCGGTCCAGTTTCTACCTTCCCTTCACCTGTGGTCATGAAATTTGGGTCATCACCCAAAGAGGAAGATCCTCAACCAAAGCAACTCCTATAGGAGCTTTTTCTAATGATCAACCTTTATGCCTTGGGTATCTCCCAGAGGGAAAAAATATTTACCAGCTTTTCTGTAAAATGTTTTTTTTTTAAGTTAGATGCAGCAAAAAAAAAAAATAAAAAAAAAATATTTTGACTTTGAGACGAAAGATCCAATTCAAAAATGGCTTCTCTGTGTCGTTCTCAGCTCTGTGCAGACGTTGGTTTAAGTCATTGTTAAACCAGCAGAGGACATAAACAGACTGGAAAATGTCCGGCCAAAAGAAATATCTAAAAATAAGTAGAACCGATGAAAGAAGGTCAGAAAAAGGGAGGAAATGTTTTGTCTAAGAGCCCTTTAAAGGATTACAAGACCCTGTGGAAGTTTCTCTGTGGAGATGTGATGTATACCTAGAAATGTTATGAAAGATGAGTTAAAATATTTAAAATCACATTTTTTAAAAGTGGGATAAGCACTGATAATTTCAGAAAAATACATCCTTTAAACCAAGAATTATTCAACATTTCTATGAATCCCATTAGAATAATTGTGTAAGCATTACTTCATTCTAGATTTTACTTTTTAAGTTCAGGTTTAAATGGTAATTTCATTGCTGTTTATTCACTGTCTGAATGCTGTACAAAAAAAAAAACAATTTGTATACACTATGTGTTTACAAAATGACAATAAAAGTTGTTTAAGTCGATCAGAGAATGTTGAAACAATTAACTGCGAATCCATGACTTAGTGGGTCGTATACAGCCAACTAGGTGGAACATTTGTTTTAACCATATCCCTGGAAACCGACATCTTAAAGCAGTATAATGGGGTCACAGAGTTCCCATAACAACCATTTACTATTCAAATGCAAACTGGTTTTAAGGATCAGGAGCCAGAAACAAAAATAACTTTGTTTCAAACTGTTACAAAACCCAAATTATGGAGTTTCTTAAACATTAAGGAGTTCTTACCTTAAATGTCTACAAAGCATTGTGTAATTGTGGTTTTAGAGAAGATTACAATGAAAACTTATGGAGTGCATTTTGTTCCATTATCGTTGCAAGAAAATAACGTTTTGTAAATGGAAAGAGAAAAAAATTGTTTTATAAAAAAAAAAAGATTTTGTGAGTAACTTTGCATTTTGACCAGATTTTGTTTTTAATTTTCTCTTTCATATTTTATTTTTTTCAAGTTCATTTTTTTTTTTACAGATTTTAATTATTTGAAGTTTATATTTTAAAAATTACAAAATCTATATTTTGAAAACAAATTTAGACAAAAAGGAAAAAAAAAACAGCAAAGTTTCAGTGAAACCTTTTTGATTAAAATGGTTTTCAAATGGCTTGCGACGTGAGCAGTGGGTAGCAATGTTGCCCTGCATTAAAAAAGGTTCTGGGTTCAATTCCCATCTTTCTGCATGTTTTCTCCGGCTTCCTCCCACAGTCCAACAACATCACTGTTAGGTTAATTGGCATCTCTAAATGTTTCTTATGTGCAAGCATGTGTGTGCATGGTTGCGTATCTGTGCTGCGACAGACGGGTGACCTCACCAGGTTGTAACCCGCATCTTGCCCTGAGACTGCCGGAGACTCCTGGCCCCAACACGGCCCTGATGGAATACAGGTCCATCTCAAATTATTAGCATATTGTGATAAAGTTCATTATTATCCATAATATAATGATACAATTTGAACATGCATATATTTTAGATTCATTGCACACTAACTGAAATATTTCAGGTCTTTTATTTTTCTTTTTTTAAATATGGATTATTTTGATATACAGCTCATGAAAACCCAAAATTCCAAAATAAGGAACTGTATCAATATGCTAATATTTTAAGAAGGACCTGTAAGTGAAGATGGATGAATGTTTACGTTTCATTTCTAGATTTTTTATGTCAAATATCCACTTACAAAACATGCTTTTATTTCCCACCAAAAAAGAAACAAAATTCACTCCATAACTTCTTAAAGCAACCTTTGCTGATGCCCAGAGGTATCCTGGATTTATATGGATCTAATTAAGGAGGTTTTGGTCTCTTATCTGGCAAACCTGAATGTGATTCTAGCTCTTTTTATATATCTCCCTTAGAATATACATTTTTTTAATGTTTTGCCTGCTGTAAATGTTTACTCAGACTGACGCACCACCAAAGGAAGTGAAGGCGTCATGTTGCAGACCTGACCTGGATGTAAAATGCGCAGTGTGCTGCCTGCCTGCAGCAGGAGCCTCACTCACTGTGGATGTCTCGCTCATTCCTCTGGCCCCACACCGTCCCATCGGGGAGGATCTGGAGGTGGTATCCGCCGTTCATGCAGTACAGCCGGATCTGCCGCCGGTAGTCCCGCAGCGTGGGGCCGCCGTCCATAACCCGATCCTCGGCTGGGATAATCCCGGGGCGCAGCAGGTGGCTCATCACCGGTGGGCGGAATGTCTGCGTCCTGCGGTGGTCTGATGTCATGAACGAGGAGACGGGCAGCATGCGCGCTCCCGATCCTTGCAGCCATCGCTGTGGATCAAAGGTTAAAACTCCCCATGATGGTAAACAACCACAGTATAAATTCATTTATAACTTATAAATGTGTTTTATCCCCCATATTCACTGACTGCAGTAAACAATACTGTGTGTTAAATCTACAGTCAGGTCAAATAGAGTTTGCACATCCACCAAAGGCAGTGATGGACAGATGTTTACTCCAGATGTTTTCATCAACATCTTTAACAACTTTATTCCTCATATTTCTCCATCAATAAACACATTTTTTTTTCCTGAACTGAAATCTATAGCTTACTATAAAAACGAATCTTATTCATGGAGGAATAATAAAATAAAATCATATACTAATTGCATTAAATAACAGCTAATTCAATACCCTAATTAATGCACAGGCCCGATTTGTGTTCGAGTCTAATTGAGATCAAAAAACGTTTCATTCATAAATACACTTTCAGGGATTTTAAACAATTTATAAGATTAATCGATTACTGAAATAATTGTAAATTAAACTATTTTAAGTATAGACCGTAAAACATGCTTTTAGCTCAAAAACCAACCCACTAAAATCAGTGATTATATCAATATTGTAAAAAAAAAAAAAAAAAAATCCATTGTGCATTCAAGATGTCCATTTGTACGCTCTATCCAAAAGTGCTCATAGGGCAGTTTTAGCTTCACTTGGTTTAAATTATGTGTAAAATCTCCTTGAAGGAACCTTTTGCCATCAGATTATTAATAGATTTAATTAGCAAACTAGTTATAAGTCGCAGCCTTAGTGGTTTTGTATTTACTCCCTAAATGCTTCCTTGTTCTGTCATTTTACCACCAAGACCTTTGGCTTATTTTATCACAATTATGTGCAATGGATTACCCAACAATAGCGCCTTAAAAATTTAATAGAAAACCAGAAAAGCTGCTTTTCATCCATTATAAGCTTATACCCCTCAAAAAGTAGGTATATCCATTCAGTTATGAGAAAATGCTGATAAACAACAGGATATTGCTATTACTTCTAGTTATAGTTTAAGTGTCTTTGTTGTCTTTTAGGGATGGTTTTGCTCTTTCATCTTGGTCAAATAACTCTTTGGAAATTTGTCCAACATCTGGTTCCACTTTCTGAGCTATTTAGATCTGGACTTTGACTAGGCCAAACCTCTGCTAACCGTTTATAATTTAATTTCCTTTTCACAATGCAGCTTTTGGTCCTAAAGTAACATTAAAGTGAGATGTGTTTGACTAATTAAATGATAGAAATACTTCTACCATACATACATGGTGCATCTTTCTAACACCACTGTTTAATTAAGAAATATGTTTAGTATTCCAAAGGTGAAGTTGGTGTTTGATTTAAAACAGACATGATTCTGATTGTTTACCTGATCAGTTGTGAGCACTTTTAGAGTATCGCTCTTTAAAAGTGGTTATCTCCAGTGGATCCCAGGAGTGATGAGATGCTTTTAATAAGATGAACAAATGCTGATATCAAAACATTAGGAACTAATGTGCAGAATCAGTGAGTTAGCAGAACACACATTAGGTTCGACTTTTAATCGATAGAGGAAAAAGATCAACAAGAGTCACGCTACAGAGGAGAAATAATACAGAGGGAAGGTACTGAAAAAAACCATCTGGAGACAAATACACCACATGTTCTTTACAATGGATTATATGTACATATCAAACTTTTTTCTTAAGCAAAAAAAAAAAAAAAAGCTTTTTTTATTTTCCGAGAAAACATACACCAGTGAAACGTGATCCGCCCTTTGTTTAGTCTCAAAGTTTCTGTCTGCATATGTTTTTATACAAAATAGACTTTCAAACAATATTTGGGTAGTGCAATTTCTTAAGATTCAAGCTGGTTGATTACTTTCACAAACAGTTGGTGTATGAAAAAGCCTGACTCCTATCATATTCACAGTATTACACACTTGTAAAAAAAAGGAGGAAAAAAAAAAAAAAAAGGAGCAGGACTGGGGGGCGGGGAGAGGGACTGCTTACATTTGACATGTCCGAACTCCGTACTTTACGCTGACATAAGTCATCCGTCTCCTTTGGTCATCATGCATTCAAACATCAAACAGGTGGTTTTGCGTGAGTTGGATTACAATTTCCTGAATATTTCCCCCCAAAGAAAATCTTGCCTGCAGACGTAAAAGTTACAATTGAAATCCCCTGTATGAAAGTAGCTTATACTGTGTTAGAAAGTATGAAAAAACGGAGGTGAAGGTGAGATTATCTGTCTTTTCTATTGCATATTCAGTTGTGCGCAAAAATGTATAGGAAAGTTAACAGGATACATTTCTGGGCAAGATGAGGCAAGTGTGCGATTTCTTTTAGATATATATATATATTTATATACATATAACTTTTTCTCTCTCTTTCTATATATATATATATATATACTTGTAAAGATGAAGAGCAGCAGCAGAGATTTGGATACACTGAATGTGAAAGTAACCCTCTAACAGGTAGCGAGGATGGGTTTTTTTTCTCCATCTATTCTGGTTAAACCAAAAAGGAAACAAAAAAACTGCATGTTTGCTAGAGTCTACAGACATATGAGCGGCGGATGCTGTCAATTATTTTTTTTTTTTCTTTTTCCAACAATAAAAACAGCATAAAAACACAGAAGCAGACAGGGATGTGTGAAGCTGTCGTATGCTTTTGGTTCTCTGCATCTCCAGCAGGAATAGTGGATGTTGACATGTAGCGCGTGAATTAAGTCATCTGTTTTTTAAAACCTGAGCTCTGGAGCGGAATTAAACAAATATAAGATTTTTTTTTTTTTATGTATTTGGGATAAACATTTAAAAACAGTACGCTTTGCCATATTTTTATATCTCTATATAAAAGTGAGCACTTTGCAGTTGTTCACTTGACATATTTCATTTCTTTCTGACAGCTCACAATATATCATCTACCATTAACATTTCATACCTAATTTATTAATAACTCTCTAAATATCACATTCATAGTAAAACTTTAAAATAAAAATAAAAGAAAAACAGACTGGGAGTTAGCGGACACACAGACAAACAGGCTACGCAGATTAGATGAAAAATAAAATGTTGCAATGCACTAATCATACACACCGACAGACCCGCCCTCCCCTTTACTGCGTGGGACTAGAAGTCGGGCAGGACCTCCTTCTCCTGCCATGTGAGTGTTGACGCTTTAATGCTTGAGTTCATTTGATAAAAAATACTGACCAACTTCCAGCATCCCTGAAAAATCGACAAACAGGAGTTCGGCACTGGAAAACAACAAACAACGAAAAAAAAAAAGTTCCCAGAGAATCAAAAAGGATCGATTCTGCTCACCTATACGGTTAGTAACAGGCCTTTTTTTTACTGCGATTTGGAAACTGAGGCAAAAGTGCTGTGAAAACGCAGCGGGGGAAGGGGGTGGGTGAGCACGGCTACGTAGCGGACATTAAGGACACGTGCATAAGGTGTGACACACACATAAAGTTTAGCTTAATTTGGGGTAAAGAAGGAGCAGAGGGGCTGTGGGACATTTACGCCAACCAAAGCCACCAAGCTAGTGGCCGTTATCTTAAAAATTATTACATTGATTCTGGGGAAAACAATCATATTCGTGTTCTTGCACAGACTTCAGATCAATACGTCATGTCTTTTACCAGTAGTCCTAAAAAAAAGACATACAAATCAGCAGTGGGTGTCCCTCAAAGTCGTCTCCTCGGTCCCCTGACGTTCACACTTGAGGGAACATCACCTCATACTGCTTTTGGGCTTAATGCTTGTTGACGTATAATCTACGCATAAAAAATTTATTTTACTGCTCTGCTGTGTTCAAAGTCTGTCATTTTTTAGTATCTGAAACACTGATCAAGGAGCCATGTTGGGCAACAGCAGTATCACTACTACAAATACACTTTATTGCCAAAAGTATTGAGTAAAATCACAGGTTATCTGATCACTTCCATATTTGTGTTAAATTTAGTGTGTAGAAACCAGAAAGTCCTGAAGTTAAACTGACTGAACACCTCAGATGCTGCATTTCTGGTTTTATCATCTAACTTTGAAGACCCCCTAAACTTAAGCAAAGAAGTTCATTGAATAGTTTGCTTTTGCTAGCATTAAGGGATAAACTTCCCCTGCAGGCTGGATTGTCGAGAGATCTGTTTTCAGTCTCACAACAAATCCATCTTGAAAGACTCCTGCTAATATGTCCGTCTCGTAACGACCAGCGGGTCGGACCAATGACATGCCAACAGTTTTTTTGGGGGCGGGACATGTAGGATTGAGGACAGTCAGAAGGGCCATGCTGCGGCATTACAAACATGGCTATGCTAGAGGACCTGTTGATACCGCAATTGATTCGGTTTTAGCTAAAATAGCGACAATTTGTCTTTTAAAATAAGAGCAAAGAGAAGCACTTTGCGCATTTCTGGATAGGAAATGTCACAATGCGCTACCGGAATTGGCTGAAAGCGAATAATGGAAGGATAGCTGGCAAGTCGCCCAATCAACTAAAGTCCCTCCTTTTCACGGACAGAGTGAACGGCCGCCATCCCTACACGCATCAATCTGGCTACTGCCAGGTTAATTGGGGGACAGGATGTCATTAAATTTAAAGGTATACTATGCAACCGGTGTTGATTTTCCAGCGAGGCTCCCCCCAGAGGGCGAAAGTAAAAGTGCACTGTCGTAAATATGCTCAGCTGTTCTCCTGGTTTCTCCGTCAAGCCAGGCGCTGTTGTTTTGAGCTTAGCAGACAGGCGATTGCAACGAATCACCATGTCTACTGCGGTAAATGACTATTTTGTTCCAATTTTCGAGTTTGAAAATTTAGCATGTCTTCATACATTATTTGTTATCCATGTTTAGTGTAGCAGTTCTTGCAGTAAAGCAAGACCGACTCTCGTGATGCACGAGACTTCTGAGCCTGTGGGTGCGGGCTGAGGGCTCCTGCAATTGCAAGTACGGTATTTCCCCTACAGACCACCAGGGCGGCCGAGAAAACCTTTGTTCAACCTG